TCCTTCCTTCCTTCCTTCCTTCCTTTCTTTCTTTCTTTCATTCATTCTTTCTTTTCTTTTCTTCACACCAAATTCTAATTACGTGTTATTATCACCCTAAAATTCTAATTTGTTTTTGTCGCGAAGCGGGAGCCAAACGAACTGCGCAGCATTGTTACCATAGCAATCTGTTCTACAACACCTGCTACCGAGAGCAATAACTAAAGTAATTCCATTAGCGACGATGTTCATACTTACGACAACATTACTCTATTCTGTGTTGTTATACACCGTTTATTCGCTCGAATTAAACTCCACGTTGAACTCTGAACACAATATAGCACTAGAAGGATTTACTTATAAAGATTTCACAGCGTTCGATCTCTGGGATTGCTTTGAAAAGTGTCTCGAAGAAGGAGTGTGCCAATCTATCAACTTCAATCTACTTTCGTCGCTGTGCGAGTTCAACAAAGATGTCAAGAGGTTCAACCCTACGAACTCTTGCCAACGATATCTTGGAGTTTACATGGAAAATCCCAAAAGAGGTAATATATGAAATATAAATTCTCTCACTTTGTGTACATAGATAGTGCCGATACGAACAATCGTATATTATAAATTATTTAAAAAATAGGTTAAAAGCTAAAAAACGTTTTTGAGCACAAGTAACTTGAAATTTCTGAAATTTTACGAATGAATTTAGCTAAGAGGGAGAAATAAACTTCACATCTTCACTCTGGTTTTTTTTTTTTTTTTTGGACTGAACTCGGAATTGATCCAGAAATTTCTTTTCTATTGTTTGTTTATACTAAATTGTTTTAATTTCTTAAGGATTTATTTAATTTCTTATGCTTTTTTAAATTTTATTATTATTTTCAAAAGAAAAGAAAATGCGTGCAGGATTCAGATTGAAATTGATTTATCTAGGATTTCGTTCATATTTACGGACTTAATCACCCGTTAGCTAAAACTATTATTTTAAACTTATCAAATATTTATTAGTCGTTATTTTTCTATATATATTGGGCCGTATATTTAAAACTTATAGTTTCACAGTGCTTGGATGGTGAGGACTTCTATTTTTGAATTGGAATTTAATTGAAACACGAAACTGTGAAATAATACATTTTGACTCACTGTATTTTTCTGAATGGCAGAGAGCCTTCAGTCAAGAAAAGGCTGCGTTCATAATAGGGACCTTAAGCTGCAGGACGGCAACGCGGGCGACAACATCGGCGAAATTGAGGCGCTTCAACCTTCTATTGTATTATTATTTCGTGTTTACCTAGTATTTTACTCAATAAGCATCCCCGTTTAAGAGTGAAATGACGTCTTTTGGGAGCGCTTTACTTATAACGAAAATCAGCAAAGATAAGCTTTTGGCCTAGCCGTTCTCTTTAGTACGTAAAAATAGGACATTTCACGTCTTACTTTCAGCATAAGACGGCAATGATGCACAGTGTTTCGTACATTCCAATGAGTGTGTATTTATTGAATAGTACAATTAGTGCTATTGTATGCTTGCCGTAGTCGTCGTCGTTGCCGTC